GGAGACATCCCCAAGGAGTTTAAAGGGGTGGGGCTTGTTGCCTCTCAAGTAGTTGACAGTTCTTAGAGGCCCCTGGAAGCAGAAATACTGCTGATCACTCCTTTTGGGGAATGGGTTACAAGGTGAGGTCCCCTTGTACAGCTGGACACCATGGCTTATAGAGGGCCCTTTTGCTCAATGACAGGTGCAGTGGATATTCCTGCCTCCATTGTGTTGTGCTTCGGGATGGACATTCTGGGGAGAAAGAAAGCTCTGATCACCGCCCTTTTCTCAAGTGCAGTTTTCTGTGGTTTGATTATGGTGATTCCCTTGGTGAGTTATTTTATGTTTTATTTAGGGAATGCTTAGTTATATACTATGACAGTTTGATGAGAGAATTTTTAGCTTATTACAGTAAATATGAAGGTCAATTGAGATATATGCATGCATATATTCACTCAGGATGCATGCATAATATTTAACAATATGTTTTCTTTTAAAAAATTCTGTTATATAAGTAGTACATGCTCATTGTTGAAAATTTACGGAAAAAAGAAATATATTTTTAAAAATGCCCATCATCCCATTTCCAAAGATGGCCAGTGTTGTATTTGGTAAACACAGTAATTTTGAGTGAGGAAAGTAGGTACCTCTCAGCGATTATAATCCTAAACATGTATTCCTTCACCCAGCATCTATTATGTACCAGGTGCTGTTCTAGGTGCTGAAGATATGTAGTGAATCAAGTTTCTGTAAGTATAACAAAGAAAAAACAGGAAGAGGAATAGAGAATGACTGTGGATGGTGGGGAGCACACCTATATACTATTTTATTTTATCTAGGCTGATCAAGGACGGGGTGCCTCTCAGAGAAGGTGGCATTTGTTCAGAAACCTGGAGGAGAGAGGGAGCCATGGAGACATCTGGAGGATATCATTCTATCTAATAAAAGAGTAATATGCAAATTAACCATGACTCCATCACAAAGATGGACACGGCCACGAAGTTGGAGTGAGCAGGAGGCTTGGGTTGCCCCCGGCGATGGAGGAAGCCAAGCTTCCTGCCTGCCCTGGCCAGCACTGGGCTCTGCTCAAGGCTACAAAGTTTCAGTTATAGAAGATAAATAAATCCCAGATACCTGCTGGAAAAAAAAAGAAATAAAGGAGAGACTGGGAGCTTGGGTCACCAGGGGGCATGGCCAGCCTGAAAATGGCCATCAGCCCCTCACCCAGGCTGGCCAGGAACCCCAGTAGGGACCCCCACCCTGAAGGGGGTGTGGCCAGCCTGAAAACAGCCCTCAGTCCCTCACCCAGGCTGGCCACACCCTCATGGGGTGAGGGTCCCCACTGGGGGGCTTGACCAGCCTGAAAACGGCCCTCAGCCCCTCACCCAGGCTGGCCAGGCACCCCAGTGGGACCCTAACCCTGATCCGGGACACCCTTCAGGGCAAACCAGTGGGCCCCCACCCGTGCACCAGCCCTCTATTCTATATAATAAAAGGTAATAAGCAAATTGACCCTAACAGCTGAACGACTGGGAATGACTGGTCACTATGACACACACTGACCACCAGGGGGCAGGTGCTCAATGCAGGAGCTGTCCCCTGGTGGTCAGTGCGCTCCCACAGGGGGAGCTCTGCTCAGCAACAAGCCAGGCTGCCAGCTGCCAGCACAGCAGTGGTGGCAGGAGCCTCTCCTCAGCAGTGCTAAGGATGTCCGACTGCAGCTTAGGCCTGCTCCCCGCTGGCAAGTGGACATCCCCCGAGGGCTCCTGGGCTGCCAGAGGGATGTCTGACTGCCAGCTTAGGCCCAATCCCCAGAGGAGCAGGCCTAAGCCAGCAGGTGGACATCCCCTAAGGGGTCCCAGACTGCGGAGAAGGCACAGGCAGGGCTGAGGGATCCCCCTGAGTGCACAAATTTTTGTGCACTGGGCCTCTAGTGTCTTATATTCAGGATTGTTCCTATTTAAATAATCTTGTTTTTCATTGTGGTAGATTAGTAGATGGAAATTTGTAGTGTGCACATGTCCCCTGAGGAGCTTGTTTTTAAAAATGCAGTTTCTTAGTGGGAAGCACTGCCATAACCTATTGAAGCAACTTTCACATTCCCATATTTGAGCAAGCTTCATCTCCTAGAACACCTCTTGCATCCAGAAGTACCCCCTCTCTTCCCCCCACAATGTTATCAGAACCTGTATTTTCATTCTGTGTTTGAAAAATATGGTCACTGTAACAATGTTTCACAGTATTTTATATAATTTTCTCCAGTGATTATATAATTATTAAGCAATAGTATCTCAACATGTATCACAAGGCATTTTAGGTTTTGTATATTGTTTTTTTTGTTTTGTTTTGTTTTTTTTTACCAGATAGGTGGTACACTTTATTTTTATTTATTTATTTATTTTATTAAATCTTTATTGTTCAGATTATTACATTGGTTCCTCTTTTTTCCCCCTATTGCTCCCCTCCACCCAGTTCCCACCCCACCCTCTGCCCTTACCGCCCCCCCCCCACTGTCCTCATCCATAGGTGTACAATTTTTGTCCAGTCTCTTCCCACACCCCTCACACCTCTTTCCCCCCGAGAATAGTCAGTCCACTCCCTTTCTATGCCCCTGATTCTATTATATTCACCAGTTTATTCTGTTCATCAGATTATTTATTCACTTGATTTTTAGATTCCCTTGTTGATAGATATGTATTTGTTGTTCATAATTTGTATCTTTACCTTTTTCTTCTTCTTCCTCTTCTTAAAGGATACCTTTCAGCATTTCATATAATACTGGTTTGGTGGTGATGAACTCCTTTAGCTTTTTCTTATCAGTGAAGCTCTTTCTCTGACCTTCAATTCTGAATGATAGCTTTGCTGGGTAAAGTAATCTTGGTTGTAGGTTCTTGCTATTCATCACTTTGAATATTTCTTTCCACTCCCTTCTGGCCTGTAAAGTTTCTGTTGAGAAATCAGCTGACAGTTGTATGGGTAATCCCTTGTAGGTAACTGACTGTTTTTCTCTTGCTGTTTTTAAGATTCTCTCTTTGTCTTTTGCTCTTGGCATTTTAATGATGATGTGTCTTGGTGTGGTCCTCTTTGGATTCCTTTTGTTTGGGGTTCTCTGTGCTTCCTGGACTTGTAAGTCTATTTCTTTCATCAGGTAGGGGAAGTTTTCTGTCATTATTTCTTCAAATAGGTTTTCAATATCTTGCTCTCTCTCTTCTTCTGGCACCCCTATAATTCGGATGTTGGTACACGTGAAGTTGTCCCAGAGGCTCCTTACACTATCTTCATATTTTTGGATTCTTTTTTCTTTTTGTTTTTCTGGTTGGGTGTTTTTTGCTTCTTCATATTTCAAATCTTTGACTTGATTCTTGCGATCCTCTAGTCTGCTGTTGGAATTCTGTATAATATTTTTTATTTCAGTCAGTCAGAAATTAAGAAAGCTTAATTTCTTGTTGGTCCTTTTTCATAACCTCGAGGGTCTCACTAGACTTATTGAGGGTCTTATTAAATTTATCGGCTGTTTCTAGAAAATTCTTGAAAAACCTTATAACCGTGGTTTTGAACTCTATATCCAGTAGTTTGCTTTCTTCCATTTCTGTCATTTGTGACCTGTTTCTTTGTCTCCGCATTTCTTATGCTTCCCTGTGTTGATAGAGTGGCTTTCTGTGCTAGGTGTCCTATAGGGCCCAGTGGGTCAGCCTCCCCAATTACCTGAGGTGGACACTCTTGGTGCACCCCTTTGTGGGCTTTGTGCACAGTCTTGTTGTAGTTAAGCCTTGATTGTTGTAGGTATCACTGGGAGGAATTGACCTTCAGGCCAATTGGCTGTGAGAATCAGCTGTGTCTGCAGTGGGAGAACTTCTGTGCTGGAGACACCCTTATGGGGCAAGACTTGCTTCAGTGGGGCTTTGGTGCTCACTGAGTCTGCCCCCTGAGTGTGTCCCTTATGGATCTGAGGAGTTGTAATCTGGATGGTCCCACTCTTACCACTGGGTACACTGGCTCTTGGATTTCTAAGGAGGTGCTAATTTAGCCTCTGCCTGAGGCTACCCAGCAGGAGCCCAGCTGTGAAGCAATGCAAGCTGCTGTGGAGCCTTGGGCCTTCTTTTGGATGTTCTGGGTTTCTCTGATCCAGCTGCAGTTTGTCAGGTAATGTTCAGATTGCAAAGGGCCAGGCCTTTCATATGCAAAAGCCTCTGCGCACAGCTTGGGTGGGGCAGGATCTCAGGGGATCAACAGGGCGGAGCAAGCAGCTATGGCTGCTCCTCAGTCCTGTCCTAAGAGGCCCCGCGTCTCAGTGTCCCGGTAATCACTGCAAGCACCTCTGAGAGAAAGCCACCCTCAAGTTCTGACCTATGCCAGACCGTCTAGTTTCTCCCCATATGAGTCTGGGTCCCCAGAGATTCACCCGGAACTGGAGTTCAGAGCAGTCGGGAGCTTGAGACTCCCTCCTGATTGAAAAAGACAACCGTGTCCTCAGCTGCCAGCCCTTTCCACATGCACCTTTGTACCTCTGCACTTTACTTCCGCACCTCCTTTGAGCCTCAGTGTGCTTTTCTCTTTCCTTCTAGTTGTAGAATTTCCACTCGGCCAGCCTTCCTGTGGTTCTGGATGATGTTGTTTTGTCTTTTAGTTGTATTTTTGAAGTGGTTGTGCGAGGCAGCAATTTCCAGTGTTTACCTATGCCGCCATCTTGGTCTCTCTCCGGTTTTGTATATTGTTTGACATTACATTTAAGCTAACCAGTGACTTTCTTTTATGGTGATACTTTACTGAATTATCAGGGTTGGTGACTTGAATGTTTCATGTAACTGAAATTTCCAGGTGGTGATTAATATTCAACAGATATGAATACAATAAAACTACTCAGGATGAGGAGGTTTCTGCCAGTTTGAGGGAGCTTCATCCATACTTGTTTTTGTTTGTGTTTTTAGGTACTTTGCATTGATATTAGTTGAGTTGATGGCAGCTGCCTTTGAACTGGTAAAATTTCTCCCCAAATGGCAGTGATAACACAATACACATTTTTTAAGTCACAGTAATTTATTCAACAAATATTCTCTACAATACTGATTAATATGACAAGGTGACACCAGCTGCTTTAATAGAGACATCTCCAAATCTCAGTGACTTCACATAATAGATGCTGATTTCTTGCTCATAGAAAGTCTGATGTGTGTGTACCTGGTTGGTAGCAGTGGGAGTGGTGAGGAGAATATGTCTGGCTCCATGGAGTCATTCAGGGACTCAGGTTGACAGAGGCGCTGCCATCCTCAACACATGAACTCCAGGTCGTCTGGGTCTCAACATCCAGCTGGCATATAAGGGGGAAGAGAAGGGTTGGACTATGGGAGGTCCTTGTGAGCCACTGCTGGCAGTGGGACGCAGTGGGAGGCGAAATGAGAGGTTTTGCTGATGAATGCATCAGCCAAAGGGCGGGGGGTGGGAGGGTGGGGAGTCTGTACTAATAGTTCAGTTATCACTTTCAAATTATTCTCTGAAGATAATTTATAAGCCGTGGGATTATTGCTGCAAAGGGCACAATTTGTTTTTATGGCTCTTTGATTTATTCTGCTGGCTCAGTTCCAGGAGTTGGTCAGTTATTGGTGGAACTGGCATGTCTGGAAGTCTGGATGTTTCTTGTTCCACAGCAATCTCTCCAAGAGATATTCTTTCCTTATTTGGTCATTTGAAATCTCCAAGGCTGAGGAGGAGGCACAAAGTTTTCCCTAAATTTCATAAAGATGGAAAGCTTTTGCAGGCCATGAGTAGAGTTTACAAAATGAATTCAAACAGAAAAATAGAACTCTTCACTGTTGTGAAAAATACTGGAGGATTAAAAAGTTTTAAATAATAATTTTCAAGTTTTTATATTTTTCTTTAATTACTTATGACAGTCTTTCTGCTAACATCTTTTTTCAGAAGTACTATTTTTGGATTATGGTGACAACTATGGCTGGAAAATTTGCCATAGGAGCAGCGTTTGGCCTCATTTACCTTTACACAGCAGAACTATATCCAACCGTGATAAGGTAAGAGTTACTTATTTTTTGTTGTTGTTTTCCTATTATCTTTCACTTACATATCATTTCCTTATATTTGGCCTTTGGGTATAAATGCTTTACTTTCAAAGCCATTACCTGAACTCTAAGATATGGGGAAGTTACATGATGCTCATTCCGAATCTGAAACTTTGTCTATACTTCCATTAGCAAGGGTAGTAAAGAAATTATTTTGAAATAACACTGTTATCTTAAAACCAATTTAAATCTCAAATATAATTGACTTACGCTGACTGTCCATTGACGCAGGCTAATTTTCTCAGGATGTGTCTCTTGGTGTTCTGATTCAGTTGTGTTAGTTTGCTAGGGCTGCTATAACAAAACCCCAAAGCTGGGAGGTTCAAACAACAGAAATTTATTTTCTCACAGTCCTGGGAGCTAGAAGTCCAAGATCAACGTGTTTGGCAGGTTTGGTTTCTCCTGGAGTCTCTCTCTTCGGTGTAAGAAAAGATACTCACATGAAAAGCACATTGTTTCCTGTTAGATATTTTATAAGGTTATTTAAATACCTTTAAAAAATTCTTTTTTTAACCAGAGAGGGAGAGAGAGAGATATCAATTGGTTGCTTCCTGTACAAGAGCTGACTGGGGATCAATCCCACAACCTAGGTATATGCCTGTCTGGGGGTTGAACCTGCAACCTACGGACGATGTTCCAACCAACTGAGCCACCTGGCCTGGGCTAAATACCTTGCAAAGAAAAGCACATTAAGATATCACTTGACTTTTAAAAAATAAAGAAAATGTTCCATAGAGATAAATCTCCCAAATTCCCACTTCTTACCCCAAACAAATTCCGGCTCTAGAAATTGATGTTGTCCTCAATAATAGACGGACTGAATATACATAAGGGCCTCATCTGCCTACCTGATGAAGGATAGTTTTTGGGTCTTGAATTATTTGCATGCTTGCACATACCATCGCAGAATGTGGATTTAAATCACGAGTGATTCTTGAAAAATTAAAGTAAAATTATTTCCAAGTATATGAAGCCAAGCTTAAGTTGTATTATTTACTATTTGCTGGAGGGTGGACAGGGGCTGCAGGAAGTTGTTCCATCACTCTCTGTGTCATCTGTGTTCCACTTGTCTTCCATTCTTGCCTGTATCTGTCTTAATTCTCCTCTTGTTTTTAGGACACAGGCCGTGGGAAGTGGCAGCATGGTGTCCCGTGCGGGAAGCATCATGGCCCCGTTCTCCATTAACCTCTCCAGCATTTGGATCTTTATACCCCAGGTGTTTAATCACTTTATAGAAACTTGCTGAGATGGAAGGACAGCTTCTGTGGGTGGTGGGAGAGGGCCAGGCTGCTGAGGGCCAGGTGGAAGGAGAGCTGAGAGAGGAGGCAGTGACCACTGTGGAGAGGATGGGCCTCTTTTGCTTGTTTTAAAAGATATCATTTATCCACTGCTTACCATGGGCCAGGCACTCTTTTAAGTGCTTTGTAGGCGTTATTTAATTTAATCCTTTCAACAGTCTTTTGGGACCGGCACTATTTTTTTTTTTATTGCTAAAAGTATTACAAAGGGTATTTCATATGTGTCCTTCCCCCCCCCCGCCCCCCCGCCCTTGACAATCCCCTGGCCTCCCTTACCCCCCAGTGTCTTATGTCCATTGGTTATGCTTATATGCATGCATACAAGTCCTTCGGTTGATCTCTTACCCCCCTCCCTCCTGCCCCCCAACTCTCCCTGGCCTTCCCACTGCAGTTTGACAATCAGTTTGAGGCAGCTCTGCCTCTGTATCTATTATTGTTCAAAAGTTTGTAATGGTCTTTATTATCCATGAATGAGTGAGATCATGTGGTATTTTTCCTTCATTGACTGGCTTATTTCACTTAGCATAATGCTCTCCAGTTCCATCCATGCTGTTGCAAATGGTAAGAGTTCCTTCTTTTTTACAGCAGCATAGTATTCCATCGTGTAGATGTAGGGACCGGCACTATTAGTATTTCCATTTTACAGATAAGGAAACCGAGGAGTAAAAAAGTCAGGTAACTTGCCCAGGGCCACACTGGTAGCAAGTTACGGGGCAGAGTGGGTTTGGAGATTATAAGAGGCTTGAGGACTTTTATTTTTACTAGCCGGTGGCATGGAAAAGGTCATAAATCTGTGAGAGGGAGGGAGGTCTGCAGATGGAGGAAGACCTGGAGAAGGAGGTGAGAGGCAGTGGGACCTGGACAGGATGAAAGGCTCCGCCCCGTCCAGGGAGGAAGGGGAGGGGAGGGGCGCTGTTGGGATGTTTGTGGGAGGGAGGGAGCTGGCCAGGGTGGCAGGGGAATTTTTCTAGGAGGTCAGGTGGACCACCCCACTCTCTAAAGTAGCAATTCATTTCCCTTGCCCTTGTTTGGTTTCCCCTTAAACTCTGTAGATTTTGGTTCATTGAAATATTTATTTGTGCATGCATTAATTCATTCCCCATCATTTATTGAATGCTGATAGAGTAATGATCGTTGGGGCAGAGACAGGGTTGATTAAGACAGTGCCTGACCATGAAGTCCCAACCCAAGGCTCAGTAGCTGGGTTTCTCCACAAGACTCTGGAGTCTGGGAAATGGGGACAGGGCCTTTTTTCTCTGTGTAGCAGCTCCCAGGACAGTGCCTGCGGGATTAGTAATGCAGGCAGCACCTGGGACTGATGGAGTAGGGGCGCCACAGTGGTTCAGGAATGAATTCATGAGTGATCAGATTAAGCCTAGACGAAGAGTTCAAGAACTCCCAGTCCAGCCTCAGTCACCAAAGGTCTCGCTGCTAAAAAAATGTCAGCTGGTATGTCAAATTCAGTTCTGTTTCCCTCTGGAAAAGGTTCAGAATTATTATTCGCTGGAGGGTACATTTATTTCTTGATGTGTCATTTATTTCTTCTTTCTTTCTTTTTAATTCCTGCTAGTTGCTTATTGGGTGTTTGGCCTTTGTGAGTGGAATTCTAACATTCCAACTTCCAGAAACCCTCCGGAAGCCTCTGATAAGTACTTGGGAGGAGGCTACCACACCAGATGCAGAAAAAGAGAGCAGTTCAGGCAAATTGTCTCCCACAACCAGTAACACCGATGCTGGACAAACCAGAAGTGATTAATTCAGGGGGTTCTGGTTTGGCAAATGACTGTGCTACGTGTGCTGTCTAGCACCTGAAAAATTGTTTACTTTACTGCCTTTGTATTAGAGGAATACTATTCTCATTTCCTGCATGTCATTTTTGTCTTTTAAAAAATTTTTGTAAGAAAGTTTTAAAACAATGATTTTGTAAAAGAAATAAAAACTAAGATGAGGATGCTCACTTTTTAGACTGCTTTCTTGTTGCCGTCAAACATTTTTCCATGTTTGTTCTTCTGTGTCGTCGTTTCTCAGCCTTTCCCACTCACCACCCGAGGGAGTACCACACACTCCAGTCCCGTCAGGCTCCCCTCCTTCCCCCAGCCACTGCCAACTGTGAGAGTGTGTTTCTTTCTTCTTTCTCTTCCATATTATTTTTATTTGTTTATTTTTCAATTGCAGTTGACTTTTAACATTATTTTACATTAGTTTCAGGTGTATAGCATCATGGCTAAACATTTATATAATTTATGAAATATTCCCCCTGATTTTTCTAATATCCACCTGACACCATATATAGCTATTACAATATTATTATTATTTTAAAAAAATATATTTTATTGATTTTTTTTACAGAGAGGAAGGAAGAGAGATAGAGAGTTAGAAACATCGATGAGAGAGAAACATCGATCAGCCGCCTCCTGCACATCTCCTACTGGGGATGTGCCCGCAACCCAGGTACATGCCCTTGACCGGAATCGAACCTGGGACCTTTCAGTCTGCAGGCCAACGCTCTATCCACTGAGCCAAACCCATTTCGGCTACAATATTATTGACGATATTCCCTATGCTGTACTTTACACCCCATGACTATATTGTAACTATCAATTTGTACGTCTTAATCCCTTCACCTTTTTCATCCAGCCCCCCAACCCTCCTCCAATCTGGCAACCCTGTTTGTTCTCTATGCCTGTGAGTCTTTCTTTTTTTTTTCTTAATCCTCACCAGAGAATATTTTCCCATTGGTTTTTTAGAGAGAATGGAAGAGACAGGGATAGACAGAAATATCGATGTGAGAGAACCACATTGATTGGTTGCCTCCTGCAAGCGTCCCGACCAGGGCCTGGGCCACGGAGAAGCCTGCCACCGAGGTGCGTGCTCTTGACCTGAATCGAACACGGGACCTTTGGTCCACAGTCCGATGCTCTATCCACGGAGCCAAACTGGCTAGGGCTGTGAGTCTTTTCTGTTTTATTTGTTTATTTTGTTCTTTAAATTCCATTAAAACGATAGCTAGAAAAGAAAAGATATCTTGCTTTCCAGCACTCTGAGCAAAGAGGGCTTCAATGTGTAGTCAAGTGTTTTTGTGTTTGGTCCAGTTAAGGGACACACATCTGCCAGGAGCCAGGAGTGAGTATTGTAGCCGGGCATTTTACTTTCCCAAATTTAAAGACTTTTCTCCATAAGCCTCAGAGACGTGAGTGCCCTCCTCCCCTCCTTCCCTGGAGCCACACACAGCGAAACCCTGGCCCTGCGAGACTTTGCTTCCTCAGCAGCCTCCTGAAGAGTTCAAGTCCCATTGGATTGCGGCCCTTTATTTACTGGCAGACTAACACACCAGCAGGGCCGACACATCCCAAGCCCCTGACAGCCGTGCAGAACAGCAGGAGGGGCTGGGTGTGCAGGGAGTTCCCTGTCCACTGCACAGGTGAGGTTCTGGGTACCTCCAGAGCTCAAGGTAAACGTGTCTGAAAGATTGCTGTGGTGGAGTGTGACGCTGTGCTCGCCTACCGTCTCCCGGAGATCACTTCAACTCTTTGGACCTCAGCCACACGCTATAACATGATAACATGAGGTCCCACTGGATGGCCGTTGAGTCCCCTTTTAACTCTCGCCTTCAGTGCGCCCGAATCTGCTGTTTTTCTGAATGACCCCTCATTTAGGTCACATTGCGATAGTTCTGTGCAGCAGCAAATGAACGACCTATTAGCTGTATGTGTGCACAGCTTTCTTTCTTGGTTTCATTACTGAATGTTTTCTTCTTGTCTTCCTTTCAGAGGCAAGTAGAGTCCAGACCTGAGCCGGGAGAAGAAGGAGCCCTCTCAGATATTTTCCGTCGTTCCCATTACTTTTTGGATACAGTCCTCCATCCTAGCCAGACGTATGGCCCTTTCTCACTCCACTCACACAAACCTCCCCATGGAGCCACCCACGGTTTCCTCAGCTCTCTCTCAACTTCCTGCCTCTGCGACTTTGCTCCTACCATCCTCTTCTTCTTTGTCCCTCCTGGACTGGCCACTTGGGTCCACCACGCTCCCTCTCTCCTGAGCAATCACAGTGCCCACAGTGACAGTTCCACTTGGTAGAGGACTGTCTTATTCTGCCTCGTTTCCTCTCTTGAGGGAGAAAACAACATTTTAGGGACCCTTGAGTCTCTCATAGTCCTTGCAACATGCCTTGGACAGGGTGCTCTGTAAATGTTCGTTGGTTGGTTTTATAGTAGGTGCTCAATGAAATATATATACCACCTTACAAAGAATTTTACATGCCTCAACTCAGCAGGTGCTCACAGCAACTTGTAAGAGAAATCTTAGTTCATTTCCAGTTTTCTTAGTTCATCTCATAAGTGAGAGACTCGCTCAGGGTAAAACGGATCTTCTATGGCCCCTCCGTATGTGCTTTGGTGAAGACCTTGAGCCTGGGAATCTCACATTCAGACTGGGCTTTCCCATTTAAGAGACCTTGGGCCCTTCCTTATTCTCTTGGAGCCTCGATTTGCTCATCTGTGGATTGGGGATAACAGTACCTATCTCATAGGGTGTTTGTGTTAATGGTGTCATGCATGGTTAAAGCTAAATATGCATTAGTTACAACATTATTATCATTACTTTGATGCATCAAACTGCTTTCCTGTAAACAGACTTGTTGACTATAATTTTATAGTCTGCCACACAGTGGACACTCAACAAATATTTGAATATGTGGACTAAAGGATTATTTAGTTTTTATCCTAGGTTTTTCCCTAAATCATTTTTCCAACTGCAATCAGGGCATCATCTCAGGATCAACAACATTATTCTGTCCTTACAGCCCACCCCTCCCATTCCACACTGCCCTCCCCGCCCTCTCCCTCAGACCCAGCGGATGCAGCAGAGCCAGGAACCCGGGAGATGGCAGCCACATGAGGAGACCGGGGTTTGCTTCTGGCCGGAACTGGCTGGGAGCCGGACAGCTTTGGCCGTTACTTACCACGCCCACGAATCAGCTGCCAAAATCCCAGGCTGGTGGTGAGGTGGTTTGTAAACGAGAGAAAGAAGAGCTGCTGAGTAGGCCCACTTCCAGGGTTGGCGGAGCCCCAGCCTCACAGTTTACAAGAGGAGGTCCATGGCTCCTTTCTCCGGGGAAGTAAGTGACAGAGACACAGGCGTGTGGGCCAATGGAGAGTCAGGTTAGAGGCAACGTCCTCAGGCCTGTCCCCAATGGGAAGCAGTTTTGTTTTCCCTTGTCTCTCAGGCACTGGACCAACCACTCACTGGGAAAACAAGTGCTGGTGCCAGAGCCTCCTGTGGATTCCAGGCTGCCTTTGCAGAGACAGGTACTGGGATCCTCCTGCTCACGGCTCCCTCCGGGCTCACGCTGTACACACTCAGGGAGCGTGGGTGTGTGTCTTAAAGGGATCAGGTGACCTGATTCACAGGTCGCGGGGCCAGGCTGTACCCACCTTGCTGGCTCACGTTTCTGCTCCCTGGCAGCTGGTTATTCTTAGCCACGGATTACTTTCCTTCTCAATTGATTAGAACTGTTTTGGGAAAGTTGCTGGGCAGGGAGGACATAGTGAAGCAGGAAAGGCAGTAAGGGAATAGGTGGCTGCCTTCTACCTCTGGGGCACGTGTGCAGGGCCACACTCCTCAAGCTTGCCCCCTCTGCTTGGCTGCCCCCTTGCCCGGACCCTCCCCTGCTCTGCCCTCTGCCCTGGCAATCCTGCTCTTTCTTAGTTAGCCAGCCCGTTGTGGAACAATCAGATGAACTAATGGCCGAGGAAATGCATATGTAGCTTGAGAAATAGAAATAACACACAGAGAACTTCACTGGAGGACTTGACAGTATCAGACAGCGTCCGAGGCGGAACAGACCACTGACAGCTGAGCCCCACCCAGTTTGTCCTGCTCACAGCAGAGGGAACTGCCCCGCCTCCTCCTGAGGAAGGTGACGTGCCTACAGGTGGCCATGGTTTATATCACACGACCCGATGCCCTGGCTACTGCTGATTAGACAGAGAAGGGCCACTGTGCCAAGGGCAGAGGTACAGGTTGGTTTAGCCCAATGAGCTGGCCTGCTGCTAAACATTGATAGGGATGGCAATGATCAACTAGACAAATTGTATTTTCTCTCTCTGGAGTTTGAGCCTGAGACCTATAGAGACAGTTAGAGAGCAAAACCAGAGCTGGACATACAAGCAGGGAAGGCATGACAGGTTAGCTGACAGTGGAGCAGGGCTCAGTGGCGAGGGGGTGGGAGTGTGTTGAGCCCTCATTAACCCTCTGGTTCTTACACTGGGTGCTGATCTCAGGCGCCTGCCCAGCCCAGGCTTCTGCATTTCCATACGGACTCTCAGAAAGAGCCCTCTTTATGAGACACACTCTGTGGGTCTCTCTCATTTACCACCCAGAGGAGTTAATAAGGAATTCATATGGCTTGGTTTATAGATGAGGGCGTCCAGGCTAGGAGGCCATGGGTTGCTCCCCAGCTTACAGAAAAGCCTGCTTTCAGAGGGCGGGGTTTCAGGCATAGGGTGAGGGTGAGTGTGGGAGTGTGGAGCTTGGGAAAGCAGTGACAGAGGTAGGGAAGGAGGCGAGGAGAGAGGAGATGCTGAGTTCAGTCATTCAGACTTTCTGTCAAATGTTGTTATATTTGCTGCTGTGTCTGCCTTGCTTACTCCACTCACCTTTCCTAGGTTTTACCCAGAGGGAAAGTAGTTTAGTAAGGGGGGCCGAATGAGTAGAAATATCCCCTCAAAGGCAAACCCACAAAACTGTCGTATGTTCCCAGGGCAACTCCAGGCTGGTTTTGCGCTCATGTCTAGAATTCCATCCAGACCTCGCTGCCCATCCCCCGATACTTAATGGGAAGAGAACTTACAGGGAGCTCTCCTTATCCCACGAGAAATGCCAACAGGAAAGGTCTTATTGTGAGAGGCTTTGGACCTCGGGCCAAACTTTGTACTGGATGGAAAAACCCTCCAAATGAGATTTAGAGCTCACACACCTTCTTTCCCCGCAGGCCCATGGATCCAGTCCGGGTTGCCGTGGTGGGGGCAGGTGTGATGGGGCTCTCCACCGCTCTGTGCATTTCCGAATTGGTCCCAGGATGCTCCATCACAGTCATTTCAGACAAGTTCACTCCTGAGACAACGAGTGATGTGGCAGCTGGGATCCTTATTCCCCACGTTTATCCAGGTGAGAGGGATCTTCCCTCCTCTGTTCGACATGGGGATGTCAGGTAGAATGATGACGCATGGAGTGTCATGTGAGCTTTTAACATCTTATTGGTTCATCTGTTAGCAAGAGCTCAGTTATGCTGTAAGATAGGAACAACCTCCAAACTGTAGCAGTTTAAGAAGCAAGGGTTTACTTCTTGCTCACGGTATATGTTTGTTGAGCATCATCAAGGGATCAGCAGGGACCTAAGCTGATGGAGCAGCTGCTGCTTGAATGTCATCAGTATCTGTGTGTGTGGGGGAGAGAGCTCTGGTGGGGAGGGGTCTCACCTCTGCAATGAAAGGCTCTGGCCAGTGACTTTTATCACTTGTGATGACAGCTCATTGGCCAGCACCACTCACATGCTCTCACCCCTCAGAGGAGGCCAGGAAGTGCGATTCTGTAAGGCTCCCAGAAGATGGACAGGCAGAAGTATTTGGTGAACAGCACTAATAACTGCCACAATTGGCAACTCTAAGTCTTTCCATTGATTCCAGTAATGACCATCAAGTCAGAAACTACCTGTGTGTAAGGGACCAAGATCCTTATCTCTAAGCCAGAATAGAACAACCAGTCAGTATGTGTTCAGGCTGAAAGATGCATTGGGTTTGAGTTTGTTTTTGCTTGTTAATCCTCACCTGAGGATTTTTTTTTTTTTAGAGAGAGTGGAAGGGAGGGGGAGAGACACACAGAGAGAAACATCAATGTGAGAGAGACACATAGAGAGAAACATTGACATGAGAGTGACTCATCGATTGGTTGCCTTCCACATGTGCTCCGACCAGGCCCAGTGGTAAATACCTTCTGTGCTCATGAGTATCAACACCATATGAGGACCATACTGGTCTTATAGGGTCGTGTGAAAATTCAATGGATTAATATATGTAAAGCACTTAGAACAGTGCCTGGGACACAGCAAGTGCTATATACTTAGTTGCTGTTGTTATTACCGCCACTCGGGCTACCGTTTCTTTTTACCAGCACGAGAACATGAATTAGGTCACCAGGCTTGCTCTACTCGCTGTTGAACTGAGTAGAGCAGTTCTTTTGGGATGATTTCATGTGGATCTCAGCCACTATTTTGTTTTTCAGGTTTTGGGTGGGAACAGGGAATGCATTTCAATACAGCCCCATACACTGGCCTAGATTGTTGGGGTATAATCCTTAGGGGTCTAATCTAGTTTTCTTTGGAGTTTATTGTTTATTTCTTCCTGATCTCTACCCCGGTGGCACAGTCCACAGTCTTGGAATACAGTATCGAGTACACAATGGGCACATGCTTAAAGACAGCACATTGTCTCTCCTAACAAGTTTTGAAACCCTGCTATTGAAACGCTCTCATTGACCTGGGGGTTTGTCTGGGGAGCAGGGTGACTCCAGGGGCATGTTCACTCTACTGTGACCCACAGGGACATCTCTCCAAACAGAGCTGACCAGCATCCTTTGTGCCTCAGTTCCCTCCTCTCCTCTGTGCTGCCCCCACTGCAGCCCCTCAGAATGACTGTTCCCTGGCCTGGCCCTGGTCTCTCTCTGACGAACCTTCCACAGGAACCAGAGGGCCAAATACTTTACCCACAGTTAGATCTACCTGTGCCTGCTTTGGACACTCTTATTTGGGGGCTGCACCCTGACCCTTATTTCCTCCCTGACAGGCCTGCCACCCTTCTAGAAGCTGTGTCCAGGCCCCATCTCCTGGGCTCTGGCAGGGATGCCTGGGGAATAGGGAGCACTGGTCCGCAGGACTCTGACAGAGGCGGTGCTGGTGCGGTCCTGCACGCCCCTGCTGCCTGTGGCATGCTGCTCTAAGCGGGCCGTGATTCATGGGGTGGAGCGGATGGAGGTCATGGCAGCCTGGCTGGGGCTGCAGGGAGCCCTTCCTGAGGAGCTCACCTTCATCATTCAGGGCTTGTTTCCTTGTGGCAGGGGGTGAGCTCTCCAGCTTCCCGTTGATGTGCATTCCCTTCTCTGTCCTGGCTGAGCTGGGCCTCACAGGTCTCCCTTTGTCACCCACCATGTTTTCAGTCCCCAGGAAAGTGGCCCTGGATTCTTTCTCCTCTTGTTTTAACTGTATGGCCAGCTGGATGCCTCACCATGAACTGACTTCCACTCAGGTTGGTTATAGACCCTTCAAGGACCTCTGCCCAAGACCACCTGCCAGCTGGCTCACCGATCAGATCCCCCCTCATTGGCTGGTTCCCCCTTTGTTGATTGTCATTATACAAACAGATGCTGACAGCATGTGTCAACATTCAGAACTCTGGTTGCTGATAAATCCTCCACAGTGTGGTACTTGATCTAAACGTTCCTCTTCGCCTCTTTATTCTTTTCCCCAGCGTCTAGAACAGCCGTGGGCAAACTACGGCCCGCGGGCCGGATCCGGCTGGTTTGAAATGAATAAAACTAAAAAAAAAAAAAGACCGTACCCTTTTATGTAATGATGTTTACTTTGAATTTATATTAGTTCACACAAACACTCCATCCATGCTTTTGTTCCGGCCCTCCGGTCCAGTTTAAGAACCCATTGTGGCCCTCGAGTCAAAAAGTTTGCCCACCCCTGGTCTAGAAGGAGCTCATCTGAAGCATAGTCATTATAATTTCCCTTTCTGTTCCACTTGCTTTTCTCCCTGATTATAGACACACCCATCCACAAGCAAAAGCAGTGGTTCAGAGAGACCTTTGACCACCTATCGGCAATTGCCAATTCTGCAGAAGCCGGGGAGGCTGCCGTTCACCTGGTGTCTGGGTAAGAGGAGAGCTGAAGTTATTTTAGAATTTAGAATGATCTAAACAGACTTCAGAGTTCAACATATATTATTGTTGGGTGTCTGCTGTGTGCAGAATGCTGACCTGGATGTGGGAGGATTTAGAAGAACAGTTTAGGCTTTACTCCAAAGAACTCGAGAAAGGCAAGTTACGGTGTTAGACTTTTTAGTAATGAACATCCATTACAGTTTCTCAACAAATACTGCTTTGAGTTTCCTTGGAGGTTATGCAGTGATTTGCAAATATGGCCGCAAAAATATGTCAGGTAAGCAGTGAGGTGGGTTATGTGAGGATAATGGGGCTGATGGAAAGCAAACAGGTGTGACACTCGAGTGGGTGCAGAGACCCAAACTATAGGGACATCTTATATACTCAGTGTCCCTGGAGAATGCTACGTTCCAAAAATGTAAATTTTGTGGTCACCAGAGTTACCTTGTGAAGTGCCACTTAGGAAAAAAATATTTCTGAAATGGTTAGCCCATTCCTATTGATTCTTCATGTCTGATTTCAGGAGACGCACAATTAAACAAAAGAGTTTAAAAATAAATCCTACGTAACATTTCTAACACAAACCAGCACTTAAAATATTGCAATATCTTTCTATATGGTCTTAAGTGGAGATCACTAACCATTCTATCACTTTTAACTTAATGACATAACCTATATGTCATCTGTGTTATAATACAGTCATGCCCTACAGCCTTTGAAAGAGCAGAGGGATGTTTGCCTTTTGCTAAATTCTTAAATCCACTGCACCCTTTGTGCTATTTCTAAAGCAAAACAAACAAACAAACAACCTCCCCCGCAAACAAAAACCAAAAAACCCTGTCCTCTCTCCTCTTTGGACAATGTCTGCTGACATTTTTTGCTGGTGAACACACCTGCATCAGGCAGGTTTCTACCCTTTTCCTTTTCTTGCCCTCCCTCACCATCACAAATACCAAAATATGTTGACATCACTAATTCCTCAAAGTCTTTGTCCAAAGTAGCAACTTTCACTTCTCTACCTTCCGAAGATAGTTCTATAACTGTCTCCAAAACCAGCTGATGAGCCACGTAGGCAAATGGTTCTCATTAATAGATGACCACCCTTCATTTTTGTCAAAACCAATGTGGTCCCGTCTAATTCACAAACTTTGGCTCTACGTAATTTTTAAAAACAGCTGTGTCCACAATTTAAATGACCTTTCAAAAGTAAGACTGCCACCATTGAGGTTATTATAAAGTAGGCACGTTAAGCTATTCCATAAGAGAGCTCTTCATTTCCCCTCACATGAATGATTTTTATCCCACTTGCTTCCAAAAAGGATTTGGATGAGTCAAGCCAAGACAAGGCACAATGCTCTGTGCATCTTTGGCTTAAGTATATCACTTTATTAATCTGTTTATTCCTTCAAAACAAGTTTTCAGCATTCATCAGTGTCAGGCACTATCCTAGGTATTAGGGATATATAAATGAGCAATTTAATACATACTGCTTGGCATATAGTAGATGCTCAATAAATATGTATGAAGTGATTTTTTAAAGAAGGACAGACATGGTCCTGCCCTCATGTAGCTTATGGTATGTGGATAATGTCCTAAATCTAATGAGACACAAATTACAAAAGCAGTTATCTGGAGAATAAACTTGCTCTGGGATTTTATGAGAAGCCACCAGGAAGAAAGTGATGTTTTAGTGCAGACCATCCAGATGAGGGTAAGTTAGTCCGGTGATGTGTAGAGGTGAAAGGGGCACAGACAGGGTCGAGGACAGGGGAGACAGTATTCTGGGTAGAGGGAAGGGCACATGCATAGACCTGAGTCTGGGGTGACTGTGGTGTGTTGGAGGGATTGAAAAATTACAATGTAATGGGAAGGATTTTACACAGTGAAGTAACTGATCATAGTTACATTTCAAAAATTTCTGTCTGTAGTGTGGAAGACAGATTTGTGGAACGTGAGATGATGATGGGATAGATTAGCTGTTGATAGTGGGGATAGAGAGTAGATGAATTAAGAAATGCTTAAGAGGAGATTTATTATTATTATTTAAATATTTTTATTGATTTCAGAGAGGAAGGAAGAGGGAGAGATAGAAACATCCATGATGAGAAAGAATCATGGATTGGCTGCCTCGTCCAAGTCCCCCTCTGGGGATCGAGCCCACAACCCGGGCATGTGCCCCCGACTGGAATCCAACCTGGGACCTTTCAGTTCTCAGGCCGATGCTCTATCCACTGAGCCAAAGTGGCTAGGGCTATTATTATTATTTTAATTCTCACCTGAGAGAGGGAAGGAGAGAGAGAGAGAAAGAAAAAGAAACACGATGTGAGAGAGAAACATCCATTGGTTGCCACCTGTAGGCACCCTGACCAAGGAGCTAACCCCCAACCTGGGTATGTGCCCTGACTGGGAATTGAACCCAGTCTTTGGTGTATGGGATGACACTCCAACCAACTAAGTCACCAGGCCAGGGCTTATGAGGAGATTTGATGGGACCTGATAGTTGATGGCATGCAGGGGTTGAGAGAGTAAAGGGTGATTTTTGGGTTTCTGGCATTAGCACCTGTGTGGATGGGATCCCATTTTCTGAGTTGGATAAGATTGGGGAAAGGAGTAGGGGAAGTGTGTGTGTGTGTGTGTTTATTGTATGAGATACGAGGTCGACATTCAGTGGGGAGTAGGAAACACGATGGGTGTGGATCTGATTTTGGAACTCATGAGAGAGAAGTGGGCTGGAGATGTAGCCTGCTGAGTGTTTGGCCTACAGATGATGAAGATATGGAAGAGGGCAATGTAGCCCAGAGAGCTTGCAGCATGAGCACGCATTACAGAGCCCCAAGGCAAACTACTTAGTTATGAATTACTCACATCATTAGCAACCATGTACAGCACTCAAATGATTTTCCTGGCTATTTTAGAGCAGCCATGATTTACAACATTTATTCCTATTGATGAAAACACTTGTAAATTCAACATATGCCTCACAGCTATTGGTAGAATTATTACAGGCTTCTTATTGTCAATCAATATCATTCCAGCCTCATCCACCCCAACCATGACTTCGCAGGAACAGGACTTCTCCGGACAACTTCTGTTATCAAGAGCTAAACGAATGACCTACAACTTAAGTCATAATTTGCACCCCAGCCTCCTGGACTCTCACCACTGCTCATTCCAATTTAGATATTTTGTTCAGGAATGAGGCCAACCTTTAAACTTTTGATGGTTTGCTTATAATTTATGTCAAGCATTATGCAAAACAGAAAAAAGCTTTCCTCTAATGTGCATAGTCATAAGTAAATAAGAAAATCTAGGTAAGAGCTTTTTGGAAAAAAGAGAATTAAATCCAATCTTTAAAAGATACACTACGGGGGGTGGGGAGGATGGGGATGGGGGGGATAAGGACACATTTGTAATACCTTAACTAATAAAGAATTTTAAAAAAAGATACACTACCTTTTAAATGTCTTATTCCCCTCACTCATGAACATTTTAAATTTAGCTGCTAAGGTATCTGAACCCAAGAGAATGGAAGAATAGGTCTTTTGCTCATGTACAGGAAGTGTGATTTTTCATTGCTTTAGAGATTGTCACATGGGGTTCATAAGAGATGTGTTATTTCACAAAATTCCAGGAAATTTATTCTCCTCATATGCTTCAGTTGGCAGGTATTTCAGAGCATTCCTACTGAACAAGTGCCATTCTGGGCTGACGTGGTTCTGGGGTTTCGAACGATGACCGAGGCTGAGCTGAAGAAATTTCCCCACCATGTGTTCGGTCAGGCTTTTACAACGCTGAAATGCGAAGGTTCGGCCTACCTCCCATGGTTGGAGAAAAGGTCCGTTTACATGGCTCTTTGCTGCTTCCTTCATCGGTCATAGCCATAAATAACTTCTTAGCTATTCATAAAATATATACTGAAAATTCTCTGTGGTCCCTCAGAGCTCTTGCATTGTGTCTCGTTGGTCACAGATGGCTAGGGCTTTGAAAACAATTTGAAGACAGTGCTTGAGCCACAGGAGTGAGTCACGCCATTCTTTTTGACGAGTGACACGCCCATCTTCTACTTGTAGTGTGCATCTTGATGCACAATATGGTTCACCACCACCACCACCACCACCACCACCACCACCACCGCCACGACACACCAGTAAAACCAAGTTATTAAAATAGTATCTTAGTCTCCTGGCCTGTACAATGGAGTTTGGAAAATATGCTCCCAGCTATATAAAATTACTAGTAGATGATTTACTCTAGTTCTTTGAATGTGAGAATCCTATGCTTACTATAAATTATTTTTGAATATTTTCCTCATTGGTGATAAAGAAAATAGCTTCATTGTTTTTCTTTTGTTATAAATAAGAACTCTAAAACTGAGGGCTTATCTAAATTATGTAATTCCTTCCTCACCAAGGTTAGCCCCAAATACCTTCAACTTGCATTTTGGCTTGGTTTTCAGGATTCCTCTCTCCCACAGCCTGCCTCTCTCCCACAGCCTGGATTTTAGGCTTAATGAAAATGGACACTTGGATTTCAGGGTGATGTAGTGAGCACAGCCTCTTGAACCCTCCCCCCGCCATTTCCTCCTGGGTGGTTGGGGCAATGGTATCCTCCCTGCCCTGGGTGAGTCAGTTGCAGGAAGCTCCAAGAACAAAGTCACCAAGCTTCTTATACCCCCAACCACGTCACTCGAAACCTCCCGAATAACTACTTCATATGATGGTAAAGGCGGCCATGTAGGTACCTAATTACCTAAAACATCTAGCTTCCAGGTGCAGTTTCCTCTGACATTTTTGTGCCATCCTAATGCATTGGCCATGGCTACACGGTAACGACTGAGTACCACCACATGGTCACGTCACAACTGCACAAGGATGACTGGTCCCTGGGCACATTCTGTAAGTTTTCTTGTGAGGCATGAGGGCTGGGAGGAACTCAGCACAGCGAGCCTGACAGGGCTTCCCAACACCCTGTGCTCTATGCTAATTTAAGAAGTTTCCAGGTGGAGGATGAACTTTCATCAGTAGCTCAACCAGCAAGGTACCCTTGAAATGGAAAAGAAGGATACTTACATTTATTGAATTCCTACATAATTGTCATAAAAAACCATGAGAGCTCAGCACTCTTGTCTCTAGGTTATAGCTGAAAAAACAAATTTAGTGAGTTTAATTAATTTGTTCAAATGCCCAGGCTGGTAAATCCTCTTATTTTTTTGAATTAGGAGAATAATTTTGAGTTCTAATTGGGATGGTTGGAACACAGAACATAATGTTTAAATATTAGCCCTCTCCTGCTAATATCCCTGTGGTAGACATAGGGGAGCATGTCAGCCATGTTCCAACCATCTAGTTAGGGAGACTAATACAAAGGAACATGCAAGACAAAAATGTCCCAGGCAGTTAATTTATGTGCTAAATAAATGACATAAAGAAGAAATACTTGGGTATTTAAAATACCCAGATTAATTTGGTATTTATTTGGCATCTAGAATGATATAGAAACTCTACTGCACTTAGAAAGGACAGCCCGGCTAGTGTGACTCAATGGTTGAGCGTCATGGTTCCATTCTGGTCAGGGCACATGCCCAGGTTGTGGGCTTGATTGCCAGTAGGGGGTGTGCAGGAGGCAGCCATCAATGATTTTCTGTCATCGTTTCTATCTCTCTCTCCCTCTCCCTTCTTCTCCGAAATCAATAAAAAAAAATTTAAAAAACCCCACATAAGGACAAAGTACAGGATTTATAGCTGTGAGTACTTGAAACAGAGTTTATCTTTGTATTATTATTTATTAAGTATTGTACTGTTTTCCATATGAACAACTGTAAACCTACTTTTGCCCCACCCTGTATATAATTTACTTGGCTTTGAACTTTTGAAATAGGTTTTTATTTAGGTTCCACTTTTGGAATCCCCAGTTTCCAAGAATATGAAGCAATTGGTGGCTAGAATTCGGCCTGCTCGGGCCATAGAAGCTCTTGAGGTGTTTGTTTCCATGTTCCTGCCCATCACTGCCCGTAGAGGGTTGAGCAGGAAGTTGCCAAGGCTCACCTCCTGGTCTCTTCATCTCCCCAGGGTAAAAGAAAGGGGCGGCATGATACTCACCCGGCGAATAGAAGACCTGTGGGAGCTTCACCCGTCCTTCGACATCGTGGTCAACTGTTCGGGCCTGGGAAGCAGACAGCTGGCTGGAGACTTGGAGATTTTCCCCGTGAGGGGCCAGCTACTTAAAGTCCAGGCTCCCTGGGTGAAGCATTTTATCCGAGATGGGAGCGGACTGACATATATTTACCCCGGTGCATCCAACGTAACCCTGGGTGGAAGTAGGCAAAAGGGAGACTGGAATCTGTCCCCAGATGCAGAAATTAGCAGAGATATTCTTTCCCGATGCTGTGCTCTGGAGCCCTCCCTCCACGGAGCCTGGGACATAAAGGAGACGGTGGGCTTGAGGCCCTACAGAGCAGGTGTTCGGCTGCAGAAAGAGCTCCTAGCCCGGGATGGCCGGAGGCTGCCTGTGGTCCACCACTATGGCCACGGGAGCGGGGGCTTCTCCATGCACTGGGGGACGGCTCTGGAGGCCACCAGGCTGCTAAAGGAGTATGTTCAAGCCCTCAGGGCCCCTGCTCCCAAGTCAAAGATGTAAGTGACATGAAATGACAGCAAATGGCCCAGGAGACTACTGACCAACATAATTTCTGATACAATGTGTGTGAGCAGATTTGGAACTAGTACTAATCTAATCTAGTGCTATTCTGGTACTAGATTTACATCTATTACTAATCACCTGGAACATAAAGCTCTATTTCTATTAAAAATAAAGATTTTGATAAAAAAGATTTCTTTTAGATCTAGTGTCCAAGAATCTATGCTAATTTACATGGATGCTGGAAGCTGTAGGGATTTCGACATATTTGGCTCATAAATCCATAGGAGGAGACAAGGCATGGGAGTCACTGAGCTCACTGCCAGTTGCAGAGCTGCCCATGATGCTCCCTGGTTGTAGTCGAATGAGATTAAAGTCCTCATAAATAAAATTACACGGGGATCACGCGATACAAGTTTATTACAGTTAATGAAAGACAAAGCATGACTCCTGCTAGAAGAATTCCTGGTAGAAGACACAGTGGCATCAACTCCATAGCTGTCTGGGGCCAACTCCCTGAGGGCCGTACTTTGCATTACCATGGGCAATTGAGAGCTGGCTTGTTGTATGGTGGACGGTGCCCAAGCATTTTTGAAGATTGAATAGAATGTGCAGCCAAAGAGCTAATTTGCTAATTAAGATGGAACAATCCTTCTGAATGAAATATAACCAGAGTTTTTTTGCAAGTTTCAAAAAAAAAGTTCTGGGGAGGAGGGGTTGTGTCTCATGATAAAATGAGTTTGGGAATTAAATATATCTAACTGGTTTCTTGACGCGGGCCTACTCAGAGCCTTTAATCTCTTCATGTGTATTATGAATTCTCAGGAGGGTTTGGTTTGAGTGAATGGCAAAGGAGATGCTCTTCGTTGAGATAAGGAGGCTTGGGAGAAACAGGGGTGATTTTAATTTGGAGGGAAGATGGCGTATGTGTAGAGATGAATTCTATTTTGAATACTCTGAGGGAGATGTGGGGTTGGCAATGAGAATGTGGGGAAGAAAAAGCCTCTAGTACAGTTTTATTTTTGCTGTTTTGTTCACTGAGCTTTTGCATCTGATTTTGTTTGAAGAAAAAATTCTGCTGGGAGAGAGAAAGAAGATGTATGGGAGAGGGGTTGGGGCAGGGGCTGGGTGGAGAAAACATTCCAGTGTGGGTTCTTTTCTATAGATTTCCACCAGGGGGTGGTATTGTATTAAATTCAGATAAATTGGCAAATCTGAAATTTAGAAATGACTGGAAATAAAAAATGGATACCAGGTGATTTGAGCGAATCTGTGATTCTTTGGAGTATATATGCCCCAAATGCCTGTTGTTCTGAATTCTGTGTCAAGTATTTGATAAATGTACAAACTTAGATGAAATACATACAGACACACGAGCACAAACTCTCATTACATGAAATTTGTGAGAAATAATGTTATGATAAAATGGCATTTTAAAGAAGGGGGAATACATTTTTAATGGTTAGAAATAAAAATGAAGCATGCTGCTCAGAACAGGTAGTCTTTCTGTCACTTTCATGATGGTTTGAAGTGTTTTGAATTTGTTGCTTACGGCCCAGTTTCAATAATGCTGCATTTTCATGTCGTGTAGGCAGGCTCACACTCTATGACACGGTCTACTTGCTACTCTCAGAGTTCAGTTTCACTCTGTATGTTATATTTCTAACGCCCAACATCACAAGACTGAAAGATTGGAGGCTTCCTGAGAAAGTGGTCATGGCTGCAGCCCTGCTTCATTTTCACTAGTGGCTAAGAATGTGCTTCCAGTATTGCTCAAAGGTTTCGGTCCCTAGCTGCCAACCGGGCTGCACATTAGAATCCTCTAGGAAGTTTAGGAAAAATACTGATGTCCAGCCCTACTCTATTAAATTAGAATCTTTGGAGGTGGGCTGGGCTGTAATATCGGTATTTGCTCAATACCACTTGCCTTCCCTTCCTTTCTCGCCTTCTAGGGGCATCGTCCTGGGATGTGCTCACGTAAGCAGGGATGTCATAGGTACTTCTGGGCAAGGTGGCCAAGCTGTCTCCCAAAGTGGGTCTCTAGAAACGCCGGGAATCACCTCGCTGCCTGTAGACAGCTATCTGTCTTTGTCTGAAAGATGAGAGACAATTTTCAAACGGGCGATGGCCGTTTGTAAAAATAGAACGCTGACCCACAGCTTACAGCAGCCTGTCCAGGAAACCTTATTTATAATAGCCAGCCCCGGGAGTCAGCCTGCTATAGGTCAGATTTGCAGGAAGCCGGGTTGCTATCTTTAGTAATAATCCAGAAAGCTACACCATCATTTCTGAAACAATTGGCCCCAAATGGCCAGGAACTTGATGAATAACTGACAGGTCCCCTAATTTTTGTTCCATTTCTAACGTAGGACCAACCAGAGAAAGCTCAATGTGCTCTCCTAACCAATCACAGTGGACGCCTTGCTTCTTGTTGGCCATCTACAGCTTCCCAGGGTGGCAGCCTCCACTCAGGGCACACCTGCAGTTCCTTTTTTTCACTATTAAGCTTCCAGTTCCTCTGCCTGCCTTGAAGTGATGGTGGCTGACTCCTTTGCTAAAGCAAGCCCTGAATATAGCCATTGCTTTTCTCATGTGGCTGGCCTTTCCTTTCCTTTCCTTTTCTCTTCGTTTCTTTTCTTTTTATTCCACAAAGATTTCCTGAGGTCTCTGGTGATCTGTGCTAAGGCCTGAGAATGGACTATTTTGCTGTTGGTCCCCCCCCGACCCCCGTTTTCTATTACAGACCATTGAAAACTTATTTTTTTCAGAACATGGAGAACAACTGATTTCTTCTTAAATCCCCGTGTTTGACACAGTGTCTAGCATTTGTGCCTGAGCTCAGACCTGCTGCTCCTGTGACCTAGAACAACATGGCAGGTGTGAGGGCACTGGTGTTGCAGGCACGGAGCTTCTTCAGCAGAGGCTATGGACACACTTTTAGGGTTTATTCACTTAGGAAGAAAAGAAGCTGTACAGAAAGGCCATGGCCCAGTAGAACACGATAGAAGAAAGGCTATTTTTAAAAATTATAAATGTTATAGTCTTCCTTTTATTGAATAGATTCATTCAAACCAGTTGCTATTGAAACCAATTTTTTTCTCACCCCATTAAGAGCTTTATAGAAAAGGAGGGGAAAAAATGATGATGGGACCTGTGTCCGCTGGGAGTTGTAGTTCTGGGAAACCTGGTCCAGGACTCTCAAGAATGTCAGGTATTTGAAATGAATGTAATGTTACCCCCACCCCGCCACCCCCAATTTTTTCTTTTCCCCATAGCATAGCATTTTTTTTCTTGATTCCTCTCATCTTTCTTCTTGGGGTTGTGAACGATGGAGACACATAGGAAACCTGTTTCCTCTGGGTGTCATTCACTTAGGAAAAGCCGATTGAAATGTTCAAGCGGTCCCTTTCTTCTTGAAAAATCTCAGCAGTTTGCCACGAGGCCTGGGGGCTTTCTTATCCCAAGTGGCTGTGCCGCCTATAAATCATAGCCCTAAGCAGCAAAAGGAAACGAGTTAACCAGATCCCAGAAAATATGTAACCAGTGTTTCTTCAATTATTAGCAGAACAACTGACTCCCATCTGCTCAGAGCACCTGCCGACCTGGCCTGCAGCCACATTACCCACAATTCCACCGCCCAGAGCCCGTTTCTCTTGAATTGTCATTTTACCCTGGTGCATGTTCTGTGATATCAGCCCACGCCAAATCTTTTCATGCATTCTAGTATTTCTTTTCCATACAGACCCAAGCTGTCTGGCAATGGAACTCAGGGATTGTGGCGAAACACCATACAGTTTGCCTACTCTGTTCAGGGCCCTTTTCCTAAATCTGCTCAGACCTGGAAATTCGCTACCTGGTATCTCTTGTGTCCTGCCTCTCTGGTCACAGCTTATTGGATCATAGGAAACCATCGGTTTCAAACCCCAAATAGTTGGCATGTATTTCTCTCTGGACGTAGGCAGTCCAGGACTGTCGTCAGGACCTCATCAGTGGCCCAGGCTGTTCACATTCAGCTATCTCCAGGATGTGGCTCTTGTGCTCATGGCTCCAGGATGGCGGTGGGAGCTCCAGCCAGCACACCACCACATCCACCCCCAAGGAAACTTCCCAGAAGACTCATGGAGCACATTTGCTTATATCTCACTGCATGGGATTCAGCCTCAGGCCTACACTGAGATTCAAGGGAAGCTAGGAATGTAGTCCATTGGCTTTTGACAATGGAAAGTCCAAGGTCTGAGCAGACTCTGCTAAAAGTATCAAATTATAAATAGGGTTGAGACAGTCTGATCCTTAAGAATTGGTACTAAAGGATTGTGTTTCCTAGTACTGGTAGGCTCTGGAGACCTGGAAACTTGGGCTAACAGTCCAAGTTGTTCAGGTTTACACAGAGGAAGTCAGGTAAGAAAGAGGCAGAGAAAAGCAGACGGTTCCGGTCCCACCATCCCCTGAGATTCTGATTTATTGGGTCCGGAATCTATATTATTTACTTATTTTTATGGAATTTATTGGGGTGATATTGGTTAATAAATTATGTAGGTTTCAGGTATACAATTCTATAATACATATACATGAAATCTATATGTTAAAAAAGCTCCCCAGATGATTCTGATGTAAAAAAATCAGAATCAGGGTGTCTCAATCCTGGATCCACATTAAAATGACCATGGTAAGGGAGTGGGGAGCTTTTTAAAAATATTACTGCTATCCCTGCTCAAGTGATGCTAATTCTGTTGGTCTCAGGATGGGTCCAGGTATCAGATTTTTGTTTTGTTTTGCTCTCCAGGTGATTCCCATGCACAGTCAGGGTTAAGGATCTCTGGTCCAGACAGCCAAATGGGATTTTTGTTCAAGGAAGTTACTGTAACCCACATTTGAGTGGGTGCAAAAGTAACGCAAAACATGGGAGACCAGACATATGGAAAGTGCTATGGTGGGCTAGGTGAACAGCAGGATGCAGGGATCAGTGAGGGAAGGGCTGAGCTGAGACAAGGCATCAAGCTCGCCAGAAGATCTTCTGGCCAATGTAGTTTCCAGACACAGGACTGATGTTCTTATCTTCTATCTTGTTCCTCTCCTACTAGGAGCCAGATCCCAGGCACAACATACCTGGAAGCTGCAGAGACCTTAAAGGCAGGGAAGAGACATGGTAGCTGCTCCCTTACCAGACAGCAGCCTTACACTCCTGCGTGGTCCCAGTAGACTAATGCCAGTGGAATGTGCAGACCTGGATTGGGGGAGGGGGGGGGTGTTAATGGACATACCGGCTTTGATTCTAAGAAAATTTTCTTCATGCTTATTCTTTCTTGCTGGTAAGATAACTCAACTGCCTGAGAATGCAGGCCATGAATGTATTCTCTGTGGTATACGCAAACTGAGATGTTAGCAGTATGTAGATAGGTTTTTGTAGTTTTTAAGGAAAATCAATCAGCAAGCCAAAAAAGAGAGCTTGTTGAATGAGGCTTACTAGTTTTTTTCAAATTTTAGCTGGGATAATCTGTTCATTGATGCCACATTAATAATTTACTCACCCAGTCATTCAACAAAAAGTTTTTTGAGTACCAGGCTTGGTGTTTTTGGTACCCGTCTTCAGGTATGAAGTGTTAAACCAGACATGTCCTTGCCCACATGGAACTTACAATTTAGTGCAAAGCAAATCATAACCCTCAGGCCAAATTTGGCCCTCTGCCTGTTTTTGTGAATAAAGTTTTATTGGAACACAGCCATGACCATTTGTCTACATATTATCTCAA